GGCAATCTTTCTTCTTATTAACTTTACATATGCCCCCCCAAGACCTAACATTGACATGTCTTGGAACTCAAGAAAAATTATACTTTACTGTGAGACTGATTTTAAAGCAGCATCTGCTTCTCTGGTTTTACCTTTATCATTGTGTGCTCTTTGCTTTGTTTTCTCTTATATGGGAAAAGACCTCCCAAAAAATTATAATGAAGCCAAAGCAATAACCTTTTGTCTCCTCCTGCTGATGCTCACCTGGATCATCTTTGCCACTGGGAGAATCCTTTATCATGGGAAGCACATTCAGCCTCTGCAGAGCCTGGCAGTGCTCTCCAGTCTCTACTGCTTTTTGCTGTGGTATTTCTTTCCCAAATGTTACATTGTGATTTTTCAATCTCACAAAAACACACAGCAGTACTTCCATGGTCTCATTCAGAGTTATACCAAATCAATTAACCAGGAGATGTCTCGAGTAAATATTCGTTGATATAGACAGAGGATTTCAGTCTCTGTATTCTGGTAATAATAGGTCCTCTTTAAAAGAGGATAGGGTGGTGATTGTTTCAAAGAATAACTTCACATCACATACACAATGATCTAAATGTTGGTCTTTAAAATATATATTTAAAAGTTTTGTGTAACAAATATTATTTTGTTTATATTAAATATCATTAAAAACATGAAAAGAATTAAGTTAATCGATCTTTAATAGATAAGTGGTAAAGAAATACCTGAACATATAATAGGAATAGGAACTGACTTATTTTGATGTTGGAGGATAATGAGATTACATTAAAAATATTTTATAAATTTATCATGTACAGGTATCCTATGTCTAAATGTTTGGTTCATCAGTGGACACTACTGTTCTTTATTTTTGTTCTTGTTTTTCCTTTTTTAATGCATTTATTACACTTCAATATTTCAGTAATTTTACTGTATAAACATGAGCAGGTAGAAACGGAGGCTGCAAGCCTGACTGCTCATCACTGCCTTTTGTTATCTGTTAAAGATCAGGCTCTGGCTCCTGGGCTGGGGCTGCCACGCAATCAGCTTTAACATCTTTCTGGATTCTTGGCTAGCTTTGTGGTAGAATTCTGTTTAAATCTTGCAAAGAGCTGAAGTTGAGTTATCAGTTTCATGCAGTTGTTTCTTTCTTGGATGAAGTTTGCAACTTATAATTGTACTCTTGTCCTTTTGTGAAATAAAAATAAAAGTATTGTCCTCATCACTGTTCTACAATTTTCCTCCTCCTGCACATGAACTGAAAACAACTGACTGTAGCTTAAGTGCACAGGTTGAAAAAATGTTATTTGATTTTTCTTTCTGTCAGCTTGGAGTGCCGATATTTAGGATCCTTTGTAATTCTAGTGTCCGCATAACTCCTGATTGTAACTGTAATGTAATTACTGAATTTAATACAGTAATACAACACATTACATTTCTATATTATTGAAAAATTTGATTACAGTAACACATTACATTCATCACTGCAGAGAAGGAGGACTGGACCAGGACAAAAAAAAAAAAAGTCTCCGCCCTGCAGGTGGTCTACCCTTCAGGCTCAGGTCCTTTTTTTTTTTTTTTTTTTTTTTTTTTCTAAATGACATCAGAAACAGCAGTATGCGACATTACGTGATGGCAGAGCTTCAGTTCATCCTTTGTCATTTTTTTTTTTTTTTTTTAATAAATAGGACAGGGGGAATGAATGAGAGAAAGAGGGGGAGAGAGAGAAAGAAAACCAAAGGGGAGAGGAGACGGTGAGAAGGGGGGGGAAGAGAGAGAGAAAAAAAAAAGAACTCCTGGGTCACCTGTATGGAGAAAAAAAAAAAACAAACAAAAAAAACAAACAGAGGAGACAGCAAACAACAAAGAGCAACATAATAATAGAGAAAACAAAGCACCATCACAATAAACTAGCTAGTCATAGATATCAATATTTACTAAATAATAAACGATATTGTGCAGCACGCAAGATAGACAGCGCACAGTGTGCTTTGAGGCAGCAGCCAAGAAAGCTTTAGTCCGCGTCTGTGAATACCCATGTGTGCATACCTGTGTGGATCAGCATGCTTGCATTCCAAAGGTTTCTCCATGTAATGATCTGCTAGGGAGTGTGGGGGGGCCACAGCCCCGTCCTCCAGGGTGTGAAGCGGGTATGGAGGAGATCAAAACTCCAGACATCCAGAGGCCCCCAGAACACAAGAGACCATGGAAGACCAACAGAGGGGCAGCCGCGCCACTGTTCCAGTAAGAGCTGAGGAGAGTCCCAGATGAGGGCTCGCCCAGCAGCCGCGGAGCAGAAGTCAGGGGGAGTTGCAGTGACGCGCCCGTGAGCTCCGCCGGCCCCCAGCTGTGCCTGAGTGACCGAGCCCCAGGCCGAGAGGCCGGGGGCACCCCACCTCCAAAGGGGCCCGAGCGAGCCCCAGGCCCCAGGCCCCGACAAGCGGCCGCCAAGGAGTGAGCCGGTGTGTACCCGGACGCCCACCCCAGACACAAAGAACCACCAACACACCGACACCTGAGGGAGTCCGCCACCGGCAGGGGAAGTGGTGGTGGGTGGAGATAGGCCTCCAAACCTTGGAGGGCCTGAGGTGTCCCCAGAGAGGTGGCGTCTGATACCCAACCTGACATATAGACACAGACATACAGGCACACACAGACACAAACATCCATTCCCACCCTCATGCTCTCATATGCACTCACTCCACACTCAACCAACGTGGAGACAGACATAAAGAGACGCTGTACACACAATCACACTCCCCAAGCGTACTCTACAAACCGGGTCTAGGTACCCTTGCCCCTGGAGGGGGGAATTGCACCCAGACCCAGGTGGTGTTACCCTTTTCCCTGCGGTGGGGAGAGGCAGACCACCCCGACTCCGCAGTAGCAGGGAGGCCCCACACCCCAGACCGCAGCCGGACGGCCAACTCCTCCTACTAGCCCTCCCGCTCCAGCAGGCCGCAGAGAATGGGGGTGGGAGAAGACTCCAAACCTCCCTCCACCCGCTCATTGTAGTGTTGATGCATATGTGTTCTAAGGTGCAATTAAAACCCAGGAGGGCATGGAGCTACCTGCCAAGGAGCAGCAGGTAAGCGCATAGTCCCTCCTGCTAGCCCTCAATGACTAAGTGTATTTAAAATTGAGAGGTGGGCAACGACGTCAGGGGTGAGGTATACACCCTGATGGTAATTTGGACTCCGTGATTGTGCCCACCCCCAAGATCCTATATGTATGTGTAATGAGAGTGTGAATAATGTGAATGTCTAAGTTGTGGGATAAAATTGAGGCAGAGGCAGCCAGAAGGGGACGGGGGGGGGGGGGGGGGGGTAGCCTCCTCTGCACCCTGGTGACATACCCCCACTCCAAGGCCCTGCATGTGTGGGTGGTTGTGGAGGAGCGGGAAGAGGGAGGAAGCTGGAGATGGGGAGGGAAGGAAGGGTTCTATATCAGAGGATTGGGAGCTTGAGGGTCCTACACAGTATCTTCCTAGTCCTGCGCTCTTCGGCACAGAGTTCTCGAATGTTGTTGCCTGGATCTGCTGGAGCCACCCACCCAGTTTGTTCACTTTGTATAGCTACATCTTTCACTACAGCCATCTTCCTATATTAATTGATCATAACTGTTGAGGGATGCCCAAAATTTCAATTATTTACTGTGTTTAATAAGTATTAAAACTGAATTTATCACTCTTCTTCATCTCTCTGCAGAAGAAATCAACAATACTACCAAACTACTGCCAAATGTGTCTCTTGGCTATGAAATATTTGACCATTGCACAGATACTATCAATTTCCCAGGGGCTTTTAACCTATTTTTTAATAGTTGGTTTAATCCGACCTCTGGAAGAACCACACAAGAATTTGTCCGAAGTGATAGCAGTGGTTGGGACTTATACAATATAGATTTATGTTACTGTGATTGATTATGTTGACATTTCTCTTTTACTTCTTTAACAGGTCAGTTATGAAGCTACCAGTTCAATTTTTTCAAGAAAACAGATTTTTCCATCTTTCTTGAGAGCAATGCATCCCAATAAAGACATAGCAGACCTGATTTTTAGCATTTTTAGGGAGTTCAACTGGAAATGGGTTGCCTTCCTTTATGCTGATGATGATTATGAGAGAAATGGTCTAGAATTATTTATAAAGAAAATTAAAGACACTGATATCTGCCTGGCTTTAAACAAAGGCCTTGATCACAAGTCCCATTACAAAGTTGTATTAAAACAGATCAATTCACAAAACATAAATGTCATTATTGTTTTTGCACCAGAATGGACAGATGAAAAACTCCCCAAAAGCTGATTCTGTTCATCTGGACATAGCGTTTTCAGTGGGAGAAACATTTTATCACTCATCCAAGTGACGTCTTCAGTCTCAGGTGACTGCAGGTTTCCCCAACCTTATAAACAGTACATTTGCATAATGACTGAAACCAGCACCACTGAAGGAACAATGAGCTGGGAGGTCAGTGAGACTGAAGTCACTTTGATGAGTGATGTGGTTAGACTGGCTTTGTCCTGGGTGAGGAACCAGACAAAGGTTCAGAAGACCCCTATGAATACAATATCAAGGGAACAGTTCACCCTGCCCAGGATAGTGTTACCGGGGCTCTGCCCTGGAGCCAGGCCCAGGGAGGGTGGCCGAGGGCGAGTGTCTGGTGCCCGGGCCTTAGTCCTTGGGACCCGGCCGGGCACAGCCTGAAAAAGGGACATGGGCCTATCCTCCTGCAGGAGGCGCCAAAGGGGTCAGGTGCAATGTGTACCGGGCGGCGGCATTCTCTACTTTGTACATTTGTCAATGAATGACCGCACATCATTGTGAGAGCAAGAGAAAAATGAACTAGCAATACAACAAAACTCATCAATAAACCAGGGCAGATAATGGTTTGAGCATGAGCTTTCTTTCATTAGTGGCAGTTTGCAGATTGATAAAGAAGTGAAACCATATTCTCAAAATCCAAACAATGAATTAGTTTAATGCAAACAATGTTAAGGCTTTACTGAATCTTTTAGCAATTTTTTATTAACCTTAAAAAACATAAAATAAATGAAAACATAAAACAAAACATTAAAAGACAGATAGGCGCGACCCTTTGGAAACATCCCATCAAATCAATAAAAATCTAAAACTGGTCCATTAGATTAGTTGGTTTTTATTTTGTTTGTTTTATGTCATAACATGAAAAGTCAAAATTTTATTGTAAATGAAGGATTATAACAGAATTGACAGAACATCTAAATCTAAACTTATCACTACTGTATCTTAAATACTAAAAGCTTTTTTTAAAGTTAACAAAAAGAGATGGTGAGATATTCTGAGCGTACTATTAGTACATTTCGAATAACTTATCATTACTACTCTATATCTTAAACTTAGCAGTAACTATGTAGGTAGGAAGAAAAAGAAATGTGAAAAGAAATGTGTGGCTGATGGATTTGCCACTTAAAGACTCTCTAATGGAGACTGCCCTTGAGTGAGTGAGAAATACTCCATCTGTGGTGTAAATGAAGACCTGTTCCACCACCCCGACACCATACCCAGTACATACAATATTAACATTAACAATTTTTGGTAGAAAACAATAAGGGAAGCGCACGGTGGGGCGGGACCCATCGATGTCAGTCTGGACTCTGTAGTACCCGCTCCGGAATCTTTGGCGTTCCTGCTGCAGTAACGAAAAGGAACAAACAGGTTAAAAATGCTTCAGTCATTAGAGATCAGAGGACAATCATTTAAAGCTGAAGTGAATACAGTGAATACATGACAGTATTTTTTTTTCTTGAAATATCCACCACTGATGCTTACAGCATTGTGCTTACTCACCTCTTCCTGGTCAGCCTCCTCTCTCCCATGCTTGAAGGCAGAGGTGGAGGGCTGAGGGCTGGATCTCCTTGCTCTCCAGTCACGGTTCAAGTGTAAACCAGAGGTGGAGGGCTGGGGGCTTGACCTCCTCACTGGCTGGGCAGTGTTTACCTGTTAGAGATGGAGTAATGTGTGTCAAAACTCTTGGCTTGTCTACAATGCCAGTTTGTATTTTTTCACCGCTCAGTTCTTGTTTTTGTAGGATTTAGAAGATGTCAAAACATTTACATTGTCTATGAGCTTATGAATATGCTTTCTACTCACCTCTTGATTGGCATACTTGGGTCGTCTATGCTGGAAGCCAGAGGTGGAGGGCTGAGGGCTGGAGCTTCTCGCCAGCAGAGCACCACATGTGGTCCAATATGTTTTTTCGGGAGGGTGTTGGAGGGATTCAGGGCTGCTGTCCTCTAGCCACTTTGTCTTCATCTTTGCCTGTCAGGGACATTCAACAACCAGGTAAACATAAAGGGCAAACATACTCAAATATATGAAGTCATGGTACAAGTTTTGTTGCGATCTGCTTTGTTTTATTCTTGCTATTATTTACAGTTAAACCATTTCAGTGTTGATGTACTGATACCCATCAAAACACTGGTGCTGAATAAATGACAGTGACTGACACTGAGATCATAATTCTGATTGCCAAAGCTGCCAGACAGGATTCAAGATGTAAAAAAAAAAAAAGATTTAGTTGTATTTATTTCACTGTAAGACATTTTCTTAAAGAACTAAAAGAAGTTTTGTGGATTAAACAATAATGAAATAAAAAATATATTCTAGAAACCACTGTTCTGTTATTAAAATGTTAACTGTAGTGAAAAATATATTGTAGGTTTATGTTTTCTGTTTCAATACACATTTCAAGTAATTTTTTTTATCATGATATGACACCACATTTAAAGGAAAAAGCAGAGCATTAGAAATATTTCATTTTTACATAGATATAAACAAAATGAAAACAGTTCATTTTATCTGAAGATTTAAGTTTTGTAATGCGTTTTTTTGTTATCATTATTAATATTATTTTTGTTTTGTTTTGCTTTGCTTTTTTAAATTTGGTCAGTGGTTATTATTTTTTTTACCTTTAAAATTTTAAATGAGTCAAATTCAGTAACTGTGTGTAAAGGCTACAGCTGTGTGGAAGGAAGGAGATAGGTGCCAAATGCAGGACTTGCAGGACACAGAGGGATGAACTAAACGAGCTTACGCTCTAGAGAGCTGAAATAGGGGTAACAGAAAATAAAGCATAATAACTAGAAGCTAAAAAAAGTAAGGTCTCAGGAAACTGGAAAACAAGAAATTTGTGTCCCACAGTAAAGGCACAGAGAGACAAGACAGTGAACAGAGGGAAGGCACATTAACAAAAGGTAAAGACTGGAAATAAGGAGATGCTAAAGAGCTTACAGAACTAGAAATACAGAAACAAAAACCAAGAGACTAGCAATGAAAAATCATAACAAATTTAAGTTCAATTCATAACAATAATAATACAAAACACTGGGTCACCGACTGAGGACCGTGACAGAGTGTCTGTTATATTTACCACAAGCTGCTTTAAAGGTTCAAAATAAATACAATAACTAAAAGATGCTTTTTACTCTTGTTACAACAAAACAGTGATTCAAAAGGTTTCCTTTCACAGGACTGCACAGAAAAAATGCAGGAATGTAAAAAAAATTGTACAATCTTTAGATTTGCAAATATGAATTTCAAGTTTAATTACCTGAGCGATTCAAATGAAGTGACAGTTTAATGTATCTTTGCTAGATTTTGTTTTTTGGTGAGTTAGTTTTCAACATTCTGTATTAATTATAATATTTTCATGTACAGCTGTGTAAAAATCATTGATTTAATTAATAGCAACAACAATCAACAACAAATCGTATGTTTTTCTCGTTTTAGGATTCCTGTAATATTAATCTCACCGCTAGATGGCACCACTGCACAATGTCTTTCATTCCTGAGTTCATTACGTTGCTGAAAATGTTCAAACTGTCACTTCTGTCATTACATTACATGTAAATATACAGTATCTTTGGCTTAATTTTAAAAATAGGCCTAGTCCATTCAAAACATAGTAAACATCTCTAAGACAAGTTACTCTAGTGTGAATCAAACCAGCCACTTTACAATTATTTATTTGCTTATTTTCCAACATTGTTCAGGTTGGTGATAAGGCTATTATAGGCTATTATTGGATCAGAGATCAAATGTTTTGCTTCATATTCCTTCTTTTAGTTAATTGTGTACTAATGCTATGGGGATATTTTCCTGCCTCACACTTACTCTATAGTCAGACGTAGAGATACATGCAGCTGCTGAAGGCCAGGTGTAACGTGACCAATGGATGGAGTTTCACTGATGATGATTCCCTTTTATTTTTCCACAGAGGGAGTTTGCTGGTGGGTAGTGGAGCGCCAGGGAGGAGGTCAATTGAACAGTCATATGCTAAATACTACCTGGATATTCTTGGGGGACTGTTGTTAGTTCTGATAGGTGATGATGGCTAGAAAATGACTGTTTAGTGCTGAAGCAGTGATAGGTTATTTGAGTGGTTTAATGGAATGCAGACTTGTTCAGTAAGTGTAGAGTCTAAAAGGTTTTGTTCAGCTGCAACTAAGGCTTGCAGAGGTGATAGAGTCATAATTGTAACAGAGTGTGGCAGGAAGAGTAAGGCTGTAAAGTGCAGTTTGTAATAAGCCACCCACCAGTATCTCCAGCTTTACTGGATGTCTGGCCTCTTGGAAAGAAGCAATGAAATGACCTGGTTGACCACAGTAAATGCAAACTGTATGCACCTCTGCCACTCCTCCCATGATAGTTGGGCTCACCCAGTTTGCATCAGCTCTGGGTTGTTAACACCTGATGGGCGAGTCGGTTGACAATTAAGATAACTTCTATGACAACAAATGTACAGGGTGCAAGTCAGTTGTTATATATTGAACTTTAGCTACTAAATTAAATGATGTTGACAACAAACCTATGTTTCTCTTTAATTTAGAAGACTATTATTTTAAACATACTCACTAGATTATACTGCATGTAACTTAACACACTCAGGACATTCAGTCTTTCAGTTCTTTCTCTTGGAAAATTTAAATTGCGTTAATTTTACATTTAAGCATACAGCGTTTTACATGAGTAAATGTCATTCAGTAAAATTTCAGTGTGGTGTCTGTTCAGCTGTGTCGAATATAAAGCGCCTTGAGGCGACTGTTGTTGTGATTTGGCTCTGTATAAATAAAATTGAATTGAAGTCCAAAATGTCCATCAGTTGTGTGTAATAATGAGAAAAGTATTGAACAAATACTTAACCCTAACCCCTTAGTACAAATTAATATCAGCTGGTACAGTCCAACCTGATGGCCTATAAAAAGGTATCTCATTACCAGGGTGTCACACAAGAAACTTACAGTATCACGGTTGTGGATTTTGGATAAAACCCTTCATGTATGCTTTCTATCATATCTACTCATGCCTTTTTTTTTTCATTTGTGGTAACACAAATGAGGAATGCTGACCCACATCCACCCATCCACATTAAAGGGACGGCTGTGGAGCGTGTGAGCAGCTTCAAGTTCCTGGGAGTCCACATCTCCGAGGATCTCACCTGGACGACCAACTGCTCCAAGCTGGTCAAGAAGGCTCACCAGCGCCTCTTCTTCTTGAGGATTCTGAGGAAGAACCACCTGTCCTCAGACATCCTGGTGAACTTCTATCGCTGCACCATCGAGAGCATCCTGACCAACTGTATAACAGTCTGGTACGGGAACTGCTCTGCCTCGGACCGGAAGGCGTTGCAGAGGGTCGTGAAAACTGCCCAGCGCATCGCTGGAGCATCACTTCCTGCCATAAAAGACATCTACAGGAAGCGGTGTCTGAAAAGGGCTGGGAAAATCATCAGAGACCCCAGTCACCCATCACATGGACTCTTCACCCTCCTGGCCTCTGGGAGGCGCTACAGGAGCCTCCGGACTAAGACCACCAGGTACCGGAACAGCTTCTTCCCCACAGCTGTCAGACTCCTGAACTCTGCCTCCTGACATCTGACCCACGTTAACACATGGACTGAACATACACACACCCACAATGGACAACTGTACCCTCAAACACACAATAATAACATGGACCGAACCACCACTCACAACCACTAGCACTTTATATAGCCTCCGTAGAAATTATCCACATATCTCACTTATCTTAACTGCACTACTGTATAGCTCTGTGTAAATAATCATTCTGTACATACGATAATTTTTAACCCTACAACTGTTTACAACTTGCATAGTTCCCATTTCTGTATAGCTGTATATCTCAGATTCTGTAAAGTTATTTATTTCATATTCTGTATAGTTTTTCATATTTATATCCTATTCATAGCCTGTACATAGCTTGTACTCACTACAGCCTGTACATACCTATAGTTATAGAATATTCACAACATACTTCATACCGTGTACATTATAACATACCATAATAGACCCATTTCTGTAATATGCTTACATATCTATATTATTGCTCATATATATTGTAATATATCTATATCACTAAAGCACTTCTGGATGGATGCAAACTGCATTTCGTTGCCCTGTACCTGTGCATGTGCAATGACAATAAAGTTGAAATCTATTCTATTCTATTTGTGAGTAATTTTAGCCTGCTTCACTTTGTCAGACTAGTTCTATTTAAGTGATTTATTGATTCAACATGTCTGCCAGTAATCAGACCTGAGCCAAAATTATTACCAGTTCACTGGTAATAATTTGCATTTTAGATTAAACAGTTAATAGCATACAGTGGTTAAATCTGTGTTAAACCTAACACAACACACCTAAACCTAATATATTTATCATTAGCTGAAAATGACAAGTGATGGAGGAATATTTCAAACCATCCCTTCAGGAAAAGAAGCAATAAAACACTATGAAAATACCTCAGTACACACAAAACTGTATTATTAGAAAATTGTACATAAAGTATCAAAAATGAAAATGATTATTCTGTAGAAATATTTCCTCCATCAGACTCCATCTCTTTATCTTATTCAGGACATGTAAGCCATCCCCAAAGTATCTTAATATGCTGTACATACCTTTATCAGATCTATTCCTCAGTGAATTTTAAAATGATGAATATGGTTGTTTCTATTTGGCTAAAGGATAAACCCTATACTTTTAAATGAATCTGGCATTAAAAGTGCTTAATCACGATGACTCAGTGTGTATACGTCACAGGAATCTGAGTACAGTTGCTGTGTAGACGCTTTTGGATATTGATTTGTGAAAAATCTCCCAACCATTTGTTTTGTTTTTGTTTTGCTTTTTTCCATTCGCATGGAAATGATTAGGTGTAATAGTCTGTTTCTCACAACAAACTAAAAATCCAGGCAAATCCATTTAGAGTTTACAACAAAGGCAGTAATTATATATATTTGAGATTTTCTTACTGTTCTGTGTTAACTAGGAACATTTCTTCATGCTCTGACTTAAGGTACACCCTAAGCCTCAGACTTTGGGTAGGTGGACTACCTATAAACCTATATATAAGCTATAATACATATGAGTTGATATTTTCTAAGTTGTAACTACTGTATAGTGACTAGCAAAACAGGGACAACATTTCAAGGGATCCCTTGAAATGTTTCACTATAAATGCATAAAAAGATACACACAAACAGATTTCTAATAAATTACAATAACAGTAACTCTCCCGCTCTTCCTCTGTGAAAAGTTTGGGCGTCATTCTTGACAGTACATTATCCTCTAACTCTCACATCAATAATATCACTCGCTCAGCATATTTCCAACTCCGTATCATCAATCGCCTCACTCCACATACCACTGCTATTCTCGTCCATAGTTTCGTTACCTCTCGGATTGATTACTGTAACTCACTTATCTGGCCTGCCACAAAAATTCATCAACAAGCTTCAACGTGTCCAGAACTCTGCTGCCCGTATTATTACTAGGACTCCCTCTCACCACATCATCCCTATCCTGAAGCAGCTTCACTGGCTCTCGGTTCAACTCCGTATTAATTTTTAACATACTCCTTTACACATTTAAGGCTATTCATTCTCTCTCCCCACCATATCTCTCTGACTTGGTAAAGATCTCCATCCCATCCCGGTGCCTCAGATCCTCCTCTTCTCTTCTTCTTTCTGTTCCTTCATTTCGTCTTATTACCATGGGGTGCAGGGCTTTAAGTTGCTCTGCCCCTCGACTTTGGAAATCCTTACCCCCTGACCTCAGAAACATCAGTTCTTTCCCCCTTTTTAAGTCCACCCTCAAAACCCACCTGTTCAAGATAGCGTACTCTGTATAACTACTCCATGCTCTTAAACTTTGTTTCCATTGACAGTGGAAAATGCTTCATGGTGGATGTCAATCGATTCACAAATTTTACAGTAAGGTTTCTTGTTACTGATGTAAATGTTTTAACTAAAATCACTTTGATGCCAAATTTGCTAAAAATCATTGAGTTCTACTCTATTTACCAGTTGAGCAGAGCCTTTCAGTCAGTGATGCCAAGGCTGTGGTTCAGGCAACCACTGCCACTACATTTAGTTGACTCTAAGGACTCTTTGACAAAGCAGTTAAAAACATTGTCGTTTAAATGGGCTTATGTTGAAAAGTTAATTAATTATTATTATTTACTTATTGTAAAACTACCTGTTTATTTTATTGTTTTACTGTATTTTTTTTATGGCACTTAATGTTCTTATTTATTTGACTCTTTATTTTATTTTGTCTATCTATAGTTCCATCCATCCTTTCTCTTCCAGTTATCCAATTCAGAGTTTCTGGGGGTGAAACTGGAGCCTGTTCCAACTACCATAGGGCAAGAGGCAGAGTACACCCGGTTAGGAAAACTGTCAGGTTGTCCAGAATTCATGTTTTGCAGTTTTATAACAAAGAAAAAGTGTTTCCCACACACAGATTTTAAGATGTAGGTAAATGAACAGCTGCTAGCCCCAGACCTTTATGGCCCCTATTTTTCTTTACATAAAATGCCGCATCATCTGTTAGTCCAGGTTTTGGAAAATATCAGTTTTCACATGCCAACTAATCCTCCTCTATCAAAATCAATTTTGTTTACATGAAGTAGCTGTAGGATCATCTTTTTGGACAGGGACAGTAGCACAGCTTCTTGAACATCCTCTATCTCCTGCAGGTTTAGGATGTCATCAGTGGCAGCCTGGGAAAAGTGACTCTCACCTCACTAAACATTAGACATGCAGATCGTGTCTACAGTAAGGGTCCTTCTTCTAACTGCTGAGGGGTTAGAAGTACAGCACAGTGTTGATTGGTTTGCAGGGAGGGCAGGAGATTCAACTCAGACTTCTGGTTTTCATTCACTGTTGAGGGGAATTGGTGGGGAAAAACAACTATGGCGCATTTTGTTACATTTGTTTCACCTTTATGGAAATGTTAAGAAAAACAATGTCTCAAACAAAACCTGAGATCTTTGCTTTTTATGGTGTTTAGAGCCTTATTGCAACATTCTTTTACATACAACCAAGTGTTTTATGCCAAATCTTATTGGAAACCAAGTTTAATTAAAGTGCTCTCTTATTAATTTTCTCAGTTAGTCATACATCTATGGAAGTAAACAATACATCTATGGCAATATATTAAAAAAAACCCCCACAAGATCAGCAATGGAAAGTACAGTTATCTTAACCTAAATGTTAGTATTCACCTACTGATTTTGGTTAAAGTGAAACAAAATCAGTAATAGGCCACCTTTATATTACCAGTATTTATCCTGCAGGGCGTTTAGCTTCATCTCAGTCCTCTCAGGTCTATAAAGGACAGAGTGTTAGCCACCATTCAGTAGATTAAGTCTGGCCGGCATCAAGGATCAAGTATTTTGCCTGTGAGCACAGACTGTATTTGTACCGATTTGACTGTGTAAAGATAAAGAGACCACAGGGATGACAATGAGGTAGAAGTAGCGAATAGACGGGTAAGTTCATTGGGGAGGGGGCTGTGAGCTGATACTGAGGATGAATTTATTCCACTTGACACTGAAGCCTTGCGTCAGGTGTAGTGTGGAGGCTCTCAAGAGGGACTTTCCCAGCTACAGTGAGAGAACAGGAAAAATGGATCCCTTAGTCTACCGTACTAAACAGAATAGCAAACTCAACCACAGTAAAGACATTTTATAATCAGTATATTTAAAGACAGCAAGGTAAAATAAATAATAATTCTCAAGACGCACAAAAAAAACTTTATCGTTACTGGAATATCACAAATAAACTTACAGAGTATGTCACCAGTTCTGCTGACAGCTGCTTTGTTCACTTTGTATTCCTTCTGCTGGGACCTGAGATGAGAGGAGTGCATCTGTAACTTTGGCATCAGCATTATGGACAGCTCCTCAACCAGCAAAGAAAATGAACTTAAACCAAACAGGGATGTAGGTTTAATTTCATTACTCACACCCTCAACTTCGTCACCGCCTCCAGTCTCCGCAGTGCAGAAAGAACATTTTTCTGTGTGTCAGAAGACAGGACTTCAAAGGTGCAAAGGTCACCTGCAAAAAAAACAAACAAACAAACACCCCACAAACTGTAAGTTTGTAAGTTACCAGTAGGGATGGGAATTTATAAGAATTTTGCGATTCCATTATCGATTCTCACTGGCTCCACTTTGAGAGTCGTGACCATCTCTAAGCAGCATATCAATGACATTACATTCATGCAAAGTAATTACAAATTTCCCATCTTAGTTGTGATCAGTGTTGGGATCATTACTCAAAAAAAGTAAAGTAAAAAAGTACATTACTTAATTACACCCAGGAGAAAGACATTTGTTATTCTACTCATTACAAAAGTGATCTTTCTCTAAGTATTTAGCTATGAACACAAAGCTGACAACACAAATCAAAGATAAAAAACCAGCACAAAGACATTTTAAAGTGATCGTCACAGTGACTCTACTCTAGAAACATGAACAGGTAGAAACGGAGGTAGCAGCCTGACTGCTCATCAGTTTGTTACCTGTTGAAGTTAAGCAGCGGCTTCACCGCAAATGAAGGCTCACTTTATCATGGTGCTGGGCTGGGGTCAGCATTTACTCAGCTTTAACGCAACTCTTGGTTCTTGGCTAGCTTAGCATTAGCATGCTGTCTGTGCAGGTGCTTGCAAAGAGCCTAAGTTGTATTAACAGTATAATGCAGATGTTTCTGTTCTGGATCAGTCTCCACTTTACCATCAAGCTCTCATTCTTTTTTGCAATAAAAATAAAAGTGATGTCCATATCCACGCTGGAGACTGTGCCACTATTTTTCCAATTTGACACACAAATTAAAATCAGCTGATTGTAACGAGAGTGCAAGAATCAAAAAAAGGGACTGATAAGCAGGCTGACTAACGATTCCAAGGATTTGGGCTAATGGGAACCAGTTCTCTACAATAACCGGTTCTTGATCCCTAGTTACCAGGTGGGAGAGGTCTCTAGTGGTCAGAGGTCATTTCACACACTCAGTTGTACCTGAGAGGATGAGTTTTGTAGCCAGGTTTCGGACATCAGGTAGGAACTGTTCCTCAGTAAACACGTGATCTTCCTTTTCACACAAGTACCTGAACATCAGCTGGACAATAAAAAAAAACATTCCAGTGAATTTTAAAGCACATAAGTAGGACTCATCTTTAGTATCTCTTCAGATTCTGTGATATGAACTGCACCCCCTCTCTAAAGATGATCTTAATATATTTGTGCTGTATGCAGGCAAACCATGAAGTGGACAAAACTGTATTTGTCTTACTAAAGACAAAAAGTTTTCAAATTCTATAAATCAAGTTTTTAATACAGTTTTGTTTTATGGTCATAAAATGGCTTAGGGAAAATATTTAAATTTTATAAGTTTAAAAGATGAGAGTACAGCATGTCCTTTCATGTTGTTAGAAACAATGCCATGATTGTTAGTCATAAATATGTGAGAAATTTTTTTAAAGTGATTCATGTTTAATGACCTTTCTTAGATTACACTAAAAGGTCCATAATTTGTTGGACATTGACACTTTTTGTGGTTTTCTCCTCAAGTGAGGGAGCCATCATTAGGCTGAAAAACCCACATAAACCCATCAGAGAGATAGCAAAAAAAACTTCAGGAGTGGTCAAATCACTAGTGAACAGAAAGGTTGCACCAGCTATAAAATCCACAATCAAAACATCTGAAAGATCACAGAAGACAACTTAAACTAGATTGTGACGGATCTAACCAAGTCAAGAACACTCTCAGGATCTGGCAGGAGCTTTCTTCTCTCAGGAACTCTCTGCAGGAGGGGGAGATACAGGAGAGGTGGAGGAAGATCTCAGCCTGGGCGTTTACCGTCTTATGTAGTCTGGAAGATGTGTGGTTGGTGGGGTGGGTGCAGTTTTCTCTGTGGTGGGGTTGGGTGGACTGTCCAGGGCTCTGTGGAGCCGGGGGGCGCTACTGCACTGGGCCCCGGTCTGATGGGCCTGGGCCCCCCTTCCCTGGCGGGTCGCGGAGGGTGGGAGTGCCTACTGGGGTCAGCGGGGGAGCTGGCCCCAGGGAGGGGTTACCTGCCCCTCCCTTCCTTCCCTCCCCATCTCCAGCTGCCTCCCTCTTCCCGCTCCTCCACAACCACCCACACATGCAGGGCCTTGGAGTGGGGGTATGTCACCAGGGTGCAGAGGAGGCTACCCCCCCCCTGTCCCCTTCTGGCTGCCTCTGCCTCAATTTTATCCCACAACTTAGACATTCACATTATTCACACTCTCATTACACATACATATAGGATCTTGGGGGTGGGCACAATCACGGAGTCCAAATCACCATCAGGGTGTATACCTCACCCCTGACGTCGTTGCCCACCTCTCAATTTTAAATACACTTAGTCATTGAGGGCTAGCAGGAGGGACCATGCGCTTACCTGCTGCTCCTTGGCAGGTAGCTCCATGCCCTCCTGGGTTTTAATTGCACCTTAGAACACATATGCATCAACACTACAATGAGCGGGTGGAGGGAGGTTTGGAGTCTTCTCCCACCCCCATTCTCTGCGGCCTGCTGGAGCGGGGGGGCTAGTAGGAGGAGTTGGCCGTCCGACTGCGGTCTGGGGTGTGGGGCCTCCCTGCTGCTGCGGAGTCGGGGTGGTCTGCCTCTCCCCACCGCAGGGAAAAGGGTAACACCACCTGGGTCTGGGTGCAATTCCCCCCTCCAGGGGCAAGGGTACCTAGACCCGGTTTGTAGAGTACGCTTGGGGAGTGTGATTGTGTGTACAGCGTCTCTTTATATCTGTCTCCACGTTGGTTGAGTGTGGAGTGAGTGCATATGAGAGCATGAGGGTGGGAATGGATGTTTGTGTCTGTGTGTGCCTGTATGTCTGTGTCTATATGTCAGGTTGGGTATCAGACGCCACCTCTCTGGGGACACCTCAGGCCCTCCAAGGTTTGGAGGCCTATCTCCACCCACCACCACTTCCCCTGCCGGTGGCGGACTCCCTCAGGTGTCGGTGTGTTGGTGGTTCTTTGTGTCTGGGGGTGGGCGTCCGGGTACACACCGGCTCACTCCTTGGCGGCCGCTTGTCGGGGCCTGGGGCCTGGGGCTCGCTCGGGCCCCTTTGGAGGTGGGGTGCCCCCGGCCTCTCGGCCTAGGGCTCGGTCACTCAGGCGCAGCTGGGGGCCGGCGGAGCTCACGGGCGCGTCACTGCAACCCCCCCTGGCTTCTGCTCCGCGGCTGCTGAGTGAGCCCTCATCTGGGACTCTCCTCAGCTCTTACTGGAACAGTGGCGCGGCTGCCCCTCTGTTGGTCTTCCATGGTCTCTTGTGTTCTGGGGGCCTCTGGATGTCTGGAGTTTTGATCTCCTCCATACCCGCTTCACACCCTGGAGGACGGGGCTGCGGCCCCCCCACACTCCCTAGCAGATCATTACATGGAGAAACCTTTGGAATGCAAGCATGCTGATCCACACAGGTATGCACACATGGGTACTCACAGACGCGGACTAAAGCTTTCTTGGCTGCTGCCTCAAAGCACACTGTGCGCTGTCTATCTTGCGTGCTGCACAATATCGTTTATTACTTAGTAAATACTGATATCTATGACTAGCTAGTTTATTGTGATGGTGCTTTGTTTTCTCTATTATTATGTTGCTCTTTGTTGTTTGCTGTCTCCTCTGTTTGTTTGTTTGTTTGTTTTTTCTCCATACAGGTGACCCAGGAGTTTTTTTTTTTTTTTTTGTCTCTCTTCCCCCCCTTCTCACCGTCTCTTCTCCCCTTGGGTTTTCTTTCTTTCTCTCCCCCTCTCTCTCTCATTCATTCCCCCTGTCCTATTTATTAAAAAAAAAAAAAAAAAAAAAAAAAAAAAAAAAAAAAAAATGACAAAGGATGAACTGAAGCTCTGCCATCACGTAATGTCGCATACTGCTGTTTCTGATGTCATTTTAAAAAAAAAAAAAAAAAAAAAAAAAGAACACTCTCAGGAAGATAGGTTTTATCATGGTCAGTGTTGAATCCAGAAAGTCTTCAAGAATGTAAACCCTCTGGAAATACAGAGGGTTTAGGTGTAGACCACTGATTACACATGTAAGAGGAAGGCCAGATTAGACTTTGGCAGAAAACATCTAAGAGACGGCACAAGCAATCTAAGGGTTTTATCAACAAAGAAAGGGTCTGTAAAAATCAGTCATCTGACCTCAACTCAGAAACTGAAAGCCTCATAAACAAGAAGCAGCTGAAGGAAGCTGTAGTAAACGCCTGGCAGAGCAACTCAAGGGAGAAAGTACAACATTTGGTGTCCATGGTTTCTAGACTTTAGACAGTCATGGACGAAAATACTGCACATTCAAAGTATAAAAAAATCAGTTCATATATTTCAAAATAAAATCAGTAAATCTGTCTGCTTTCACTTATTCTTGTCAGGGTCACAGGGGGCTGGAGCCTACCCCAGGTACTATAGGCAGGGTACACCCTGGACAGATCGCCGGTCTGTTGCAGGGCTAACACATAGAGGCAGACAAACATTCGCACCTATGTGCAATTTACAATTACCCTAACCCCACTAACTGTATGTCTTTGGACTGTGGGAGGAAGCGGAGAGAACCCACACAAACATGGGTAGAAGCGAACTCAGGACCTTCTTGCTGTAAGGCAACAGTGCTAATCACCACACCACCATGCTGCCCCTATATTTAAACGGTGCAGGAATGATGGCTAGAGTGGAGCTGACACCGCTCCAACCGTGGAGCTACTTCTTTCCTGGCTCAGATTTTGCAAAATGGAACAACAGAGTTGTCAGCAACCTGCTTTATTATCAAACTAATTAAATGGCTTTGGTCACCGCTGTTTTCCTCTTCGTTGGGATCCTGAACCCTCCAGGGACATTCATAGCCATAGCTGTGGTGTCGGCAGACATATTTGGACCAAAGTAGTTGTTTATGCTGGATGCTCTGGTTCAGCAGGAGGAAACCATTCAAAAGATCCACAACTTTCAGGATTAAAAGTGAAACAGTTACTGAATTTGAGAAGAAGCAAATGCACGTGTGCTCTTTTCTTTCCAAAGATTATGATTTTTGTTTTTTTTTGCTAAGATTTCATTCCTTTCTGTTTCATGCACAGCTTGTGATTTGGAAAGCAAGATTGTTATCTGAAGGGCTTTATCTTCACCTCAGGGCTTCTGTCACTCTATCTAGGACTTGTTATTTCTATTCTTTGAAATCTCTAATGATGAAAAAAGATTATGTGATTGCTGCTTAAAGTAGAATTAGACTCCTCTATACATCAAGTTCATTCTTTAAACAAATTAGAAATGTGCGGTTGAAAACAGTTACAATTAGTGTACGTGGCAGCATGTCAAGCTAATAAAACTATATGACAAAAGTGGTATGTGTAATCAAATAAAGTTCCAAATTAAAATTGGATAATTCTGGATTCAGTTCTGCTCAGAAAAAACGGTGTGCATAATATGTTGTTCACAACAGTCACTCCTCACTAAATACACTTAGTCACAGAGAGAGATACTCAAGTTAAAAGGACCTGATATGAGTCTAAGAAGGGTTGCAGCAGCTTCTGCAGAAAGGATAAAACTTCCAGCCCCGTTTCCAACACGATCACTTCCTGCTGACTGATGTGGACTGCTCCACATTTCTGCAGGAGTGAACATGCCTCCTCAAAGTCCTAAATGATGGAGAGACAGATATATGCAAGATGAATAACAATAAATATATACCCATGATAATAATCTGCCTCATGGTTAACCATACAAGTGTGTATGAATATGACAGTAGCAAAAAACGTAAGGACCATAAGCACAAAATTTCTTAGGTCAGCTTTTCCCAAGAATGGGATAAATGAGAGGCTACAGTGACCTTGGCCTTTGACTCAATTCATGCACAAAATAATGCTGATCCTAACAAACATGGCTGTTACCTGCACTGCCCTGCCAGGGATAAAGATAAATTCATTGGAGAAGACGTCCTGCAGGAAGCAGAAAAAGCTGAAGAGCTCATCTGTGAACAGAAAAATGGGTCACAGCTAAACAAGATATGCCCATTCATGAGACTGAGAATCTGTAACCCCACCTAACTCTTACCCTTCCGTGTGTTTTTTGTGATGTGGATGGCTGTAGCAAGTATTCCTGGACGCACAAAGACATGCAATGCCTGATTCCTGTAGGAAACCAGCATCAGCACCACTACCGCCATCCTCATCACACCTTCCTCTGGGCTCAGTGGATCTTGCCTCGCAGGGTCTTCATCCTGAACCAGGTAGATACGGTCCTCTTTATGATGGACAATGGAGTGATGAAGAGCCACGGTGGATGACATCACTTCTGAGTCTGGGATGTGTGCTGCAAAATGCAACTTTCACATAAGTTTGAGGGTCATAAGACCTTCACAAAGTCATGTGTGCGAGTGTGTGTGCATGTGTAAGTGTGCACACGTGCCTGCATGTGTCAATGTTCACACACAGGACACCTGTGAAGTGAGACAGTTCAGTGGCATTCTCTTAGGATAAGTTACTTAAAGTGTATTAATCCACTGAACATCTCCTAAGTGATTCTGGACACTTGTGCCGACTTGCATTCACCTAATCTTTATGATCCACACAGGACCAGGTCAAAAAGAGCCATTGGTGCCCTGAGGTGAGACGCTGTCACATGCACCAACAGGGAAACTACTAACCTTTCTACATTAACTGTCTGGTTGTCTAGCATTGCAGTATCCTAAGGCCACCTACTGGTTACTGAAGGGAAAGCAAGCTTCATTAAAGGCCCATTATAAGCAAAGCCTATATTGATCTTAACCCTAAGCTTGATGCTGTGGCTTTTCTACACAGCATAATTCAAATAAATTGATATCTTTGAAATCTATCTGGCCCACCCACCAGGCCAGTTCAGACGGGCCCCGAAATCCAGCACCAGCTTCCTGAGCCAGAGGGTTTTTTCTGTGAGCTGATGCCACTGCAGACCCTCTTCCGTTAAAGTTGTGAATGGAGTCTGGAGCAACAGGCAGGCCATCAGAGACCAAGGGCTGATCAAAGAGCCCTCCTCCTGGGTTCGTACAATCAAATGGGCCAGCCAGTTCACACAGTCCTGGGTCTCTGCAGTTGGCCTCTGGGGAAGATTTCTGAATAGAAAACGAGACAGATTCTAAAGTTATATACAGGCTGTGTCTTGAAGTTTTGAAGGTTTACAGTGACACAAATATTAATTTAAGTTATATTATTATTAAACTTGTTAATGTTTTTGTTAATTTGGTGCATTTTACCAAGTTATTTTGGTTTAATTTTTTATTACTCACTGTAAGTAAAACCTTTATAAAATTACAATTTTAAAATGTAAAGGTTTTTATATTCTTCAGTTGAATTACCTGTATACAACTAATGGAGATTACAATTAAAGAATATATAGATGATAAATTACAGTTATTTAAGTTATTTAGTACTTAAGACTCTATAGACTTTTTCTATTTAGACTTTGGTTGGTAGATACTCAATATTCATATTTGTACCTACAGCCATGTGTGATATTGGCAAAAAAAGAGAAAAAAAGGGAAATCTGTACCTTGGTATGAGGTTGTACTCGCTCCAATTTATCTTTCCTTCACACAGCTGTCGGGCAGACAGGGGGCGGCCAAAGTTCACATGCATGCAGCCATAATCTTCCTGCAGGACTCCGCTAGCTTTAAAGAGTCCCTGCAGGGAAAGAGTGAGGGCAAGAGGCATGTAGTTTCATATCTTTTAGAAACAAAGATTATATGGGAATTTTTTATCAAGTCATAAATGAGGCTGAAACTTACGGTGATGCTTTCTTTTGGTCTGGGGACACCCAACAACTCAAGTGCAAGCAATGACTCCTCCAGCACTCTGTCATAGCTGATACTGATGGGCACCAGGGTAATATCAAACACCTCACCTTTAAAGTATGGCTCCAGCACCATGTCCATCATACCTACAGAAAAAAGGTGAACAATAAATATTAAAATTATACATAAAATGACCAGTAAACTTGTTTGACTTTTAACTCTTAAAATATCCTAAACCTAGAACAACCCTTCAATTTAAGAGAACTAAAATAATAGAAAAACATGACAATATGACCTAAACATAAATTATTAACCAGATAAAGATCTCTGTAATTAGGGTCGTGGAGAAGAGCTTTCAGAAAAGCAGAACAGAGAAAGTCCATCACATTCATATGCAATTGTAACAGTGTTTATGTTGTATGTGATTCCACTTGCCATGTCAACCACGATCTATTTGTGTATTGTGATGTTTACTGACTCAATGGTGCCCTTTTCTCATAGGCAGTGGATTAATACCACTGGCAGCGTTACAACATTGCCAGATTACGAGGGACAAGCCTGAGGTGGGTTGTATATCACAGCACTGCGCATGATCATTAGATTTTGGCATTTGTGCAACCACTATGGAGGATATTCAATTCAATTCATCCATCCATCCATTCGCTTCCGCTTATCCTTTTCAGGGTCGCGGGGGGTGCTGGAGCCTATCCCAGCTGTCATAGGGCGAAAGGCGGGGTACAACCTGGACAGGTCGCCAGTCTGTCGCAGGGCTAACACATAGGGACAGACAACCATTCACACTCACATTCACTCGCACATTCACACCTAGTGGCAATTTGAATTATCCAATTAACCTATCCCCACAAACTGCATGTCTTTGGACAGTGGGAGGAAGCCGGAGTACCCGGAGAGAACCCACGCAAACACGGGGAGAACATGCAAACTCCACACAGAAAGACCCCGGCCTGATGGTGGAATTGAACTCAGGACAGTGCTAACCACCGTGCCACCGTGCTGCCAATTCAATTCAATTTAGTTATATTTATACAGCGCCAAATCACAACATCAGTCACCTCAAAGCACTTTATATTGTAAGGTAGGCCCTATAATAATACATACAGAGAAAAACGCAACAATCATATGACCCCCTGTAAGCAAGCACTTTGGCGACAATGGGAAGGAAAAACTCCCTTTTAACAGGAAGAAACCTCCAGCAGAACCAGGCTCAGGGAGGGGTGGCCATCTGCCACGACTGGTTGGGGTAAGAGAAGGAAGATTAAATAAAAGACATGCTGTGGAAGAGAGCCAGGGATAATAACAAGTGTGATTCAAGAGAGGTCTATTAACATATGTTGAGTGAGAAAGGTGACTGGAGAAGAAATACTCAATGCATCATGGAAGCAGCAGCCTATGCCAATTGCAGCATAACTAAGGGAGGATTCAGGGTCACCTGATCCAGCCTAGCTATATGCTTTAGCAAAAAGGAAAGTTTTAAGCCTAATCTTAAAAGTGAAGACAGTGTCTGCCTCCCAAATCGAAACTGGAAGCTGCTTCCATAGAAGAGGGGCCTGAAAACTGAAGGCTCTGCCTCTCATTCTACTTTTAAATACTCTAGGAACAACAAGTAAGCCTGCAGTGTGAGAGCGAAGTGCTCTAATAAGGTGATATGGTACTATAAGGTCATTAAAATAAGATGGGGACTGATTATTTAAGACGTTGTATCTGAGGAGCATGATTTTAAATTCAGTTCTGGATTTAACAGGGAGCCAACGAAGGGAAGCCAATACAGGAGAAATATGCTCTCTCTTTCTAGTCCCTGTGGTACTCTTGCTGCAGCATTTTGGATTAACTGAAGGCTTTTTAGGGAGTTTTTGAGACATCCTGATAATAATGAATTACACTAGCCCAGCCTTGAAGTCATAAATGCACAAACTAGTTTTTCAGCATCACTCTGAGACAGGATATTTCTCATTTTAGAGATACTGCGCAAATGAAAGAAAGCAGTCCTACATATTTGTTTAATATGTGCATTGAAGAATATATCCTGGTCAAAATGACTCCAAGGTTTCTCACAGTGTTACTGGAGGCCAAGGTAATGCCATCCAGAGTAAGAATCTGGTTAGATACCATATTTCTAAGGTTTTCGGGCCCGAGTACAATAACCTCAGTTTTATTTGAATTTAGAAGCAGAAAATTAGAGGCCATCCAGGGTTTTACGTCTTTAAGGCATTTCTGCAGTTTAACTAATTGGTGTGTGTTATCTGTCTTCATGGATAGATAAAGTTGTGTGTCATCTATATAGCAGTGAAAATGTAAGCTATGCCTTCTGGTGATAAGAATATGGCCACTGCAAACTGTCTGACTGTTAATAAGAAGAGTTCAGGTGAATTGTTGCCAATGTGTGGTGATAAAACAGTCACATAATAGTACTGTACACTGGCTAGCTTAGCTAGCAAGATACTATGCTACCATAATATGCTATTACCTTTGCATGCAGCTCAAACACAGCACACTACAAATACATAACCAGAATATGACCAGTACATATTCTGTTCTTATCCAGGTACACAATATTTATATTAATGAACTTGTTATATTAGTTTTCAGCATTAAAACATTGCCAGATTATGAGGGACGAGCCTGAGTGCACTGTGTTTAACTCACCTGCAATGAGTCAACCTGCCTGGCCAGTACATACTTAGTACTTACCCAATTAATAAATGGCAGCACTAAAAGATAAGCAAGTCTCGTCCATCATTTACTACACAAGGCAGAGTCAAGTCATACTTTTGAACCAGTCAGTTACAGCAAAGTATAATTTAGCCTAGTTACACAATGAAATTAAAGCAAGACAGAAAAAGTCCAAAAGAATCAGATGCACGCACTTTGATATCCTGGGACACACTTAAAAAAAACAAGGTGGTAAATTTGGACACTTACCAAGCTTTGGCACTAGAGACTTCAGTGTGCGACTCCTGAAACCTTCTACATAAAACTCCAAAGGAGCATATCCTGTCTACAGAAAACACATTATGCTGTTGGAACCCTTCCTTTGATTGAAGTTTATTACCAAAGATGCATTCAGGAATATGCTGAAAAGTCATCGTCTTACCCTGACAATTGTTTGTACATATTCTAAAAGCACCGCCCAGTACAGCTTGTCAGAGCCGATTGCTCGTCGGATATAAAAAGCTCCAGAGCGACGCAGAAGCCCTCCAATAATCGCCACATCTGCAAGACCTTTAAAATGGAGCAGAAGAGACAAAAATTTAAAAATATATTTTTTTGTTGCTACACTATAATTAACTGGATATAATGTAGTATGATTTAAAAAAACATTTTGTTGTCTTAATATGAATAGATACTTGCGAATTCCTGCAGCAATGACAGGTACTGGGATGTCATAGGTGAACAGGATGTAGGATATAATCAAGAAGTCCACATAACTCCTGTGATTGGGTATCAAGATCACAGGACTCTCCTGGATGGCCTGCTGCAGCTGCAGTGACAGAAAAATTAAAATTTTCCAGAAATCAGTGAAATTACACACTGCACTAGTAGGTTCTATTTGTAGTATTAGTAAGATGGAACAAAAAAATCCTAAGTGCTAAAAAGTAAAATAAATCTAATAAAATACTGTGTAGCTAAAGTATGTTAAATGGCAAACCTCTGAATCCTACAGCAAATATATGAAAATATATGAAAATACTGGTGGTGGCCAGTTTCACTTGAGGATGCACCAGTTGTTTCAATTTCAAAGTTCTACGTCGTCATTCTCAATTTATCAGATTCACAAGATGTACAGAAAATTACACCTCTGACCTCCAACCTTGAGGTCAAGGTCAATGAGATTCACACTCATCTGAGATTTTTAGTAGATACCCCTACAGTATTAATGTGAAACTCCTACATTGCTTCGTTTTCAAGTTATCAAACTCACAAACTTAGGTGTCCACGCTACCTGCCTGCTTGCCTGGTGACTACAATACTGTATCAGCCTTTTACGGCTGAGGAGTAAAAATGGTTTACTACATATATATATATATATATATATATATATATATATATATATATATATCGTAGTGGTTAGACTACACGCCTTTGGAACAGAGGATCGCAAGTTCGATTCCTGCCTGGGGCGTCTGTATCCAGTAAGGGTCCTAAGGCTAGACCCCCTATGCTAAGCAAGCCTACCGCAGACATGAGCGAGACAGATAAATATGAAGGCATGCCGGCTCGGACGTCGCCCGGATCAACAAGGTCCGCGTCAGGTGTTGAGGAACCAGGGCACCCTGACGAAAAGTGGGCTACTGGAACAAGAAGGCATCGGTGGGCAAGGGACGAAAACAGGGCGTTGTTGGAATGCTACTACGCAAGTAACCCCGGCGGAAGGGGCTACATGAATAGGATGAGGGACCTATGGATTCTTCGATACCCAACATCCACAATGACGGCGAAACAACTAGTAGCTCAGTGTTCCAACATTCGAAAGAAGGGACTGCTCTCACAGCTAGAGATTGACGAGGTACAACACAAATGCTACGGCAAGGAGGAGTCAGGACGCCAGGTCAGGGGGGAGATATCATCACCCCCACCCGAGATTGGGTACATAGCCCCAAGTGTGATAGGAGAAGGATCGTTGAGTGCGAGAGGAACTGACCTGAAAAATAGGATCATGGCCAAGCTTGAAACCTGGATCCCCCGTAGCCGGTTACCAAGATTACGTGAAGTACCCTCAGAAGGTCTGCTAGATGATGTTAATGCAGCACTACGGGCAATACCTACAACCACGATTACCGACACTAACAAGCTGATCTACAATACGGCAGCAGTGATCAGTGAGATGCTTGGCTACAAGTTGAACAGCCACAAGGGGCAGTACCCTCCATGGAGAAGGAGGCTAGAGGGCAAGATCAAAGTAGCACGGAGAGAGGTTAGCCAACTAACGGAGTTGCAGAAAGGTGCGACGAATAAGGTGCCTAAGAAATACAGCAAGCTGTCCATACCTGAGGCCTTGGAAACTGCCAAGCAAAGACTCACAGCCTTGGCCAGCCGCTTGAGGAGGTACACCAGAGAGATAGAAGGCAGGAGAATAAACCAGCTGTTCTCCACAGAACCAGCAAAGGTGTACTCTCAGTGGCAAGGGAACAATAAGAGAACAGCACCACCAAGGCTGGAGACGGAGCAATACTGGAAGAGCATATGGGAGAAGGATGCAACCCATAACGGCAATGCTCAGTGGCTAGAGGATCTGAGGGCAGACCACAGCGACCTCCCTGAACAGGGTCCAGTAACCATCACAGTGGCAGATATCCAAGAAAGGGTCTCCAGTATGAAGAGTTGGACAGCACCAGGGCCCGACATGGTTCACGCCTACTGGCTAACTGCACTCCACGAGCGTCTGGCAGCACAAATGAACCAGCTGCTAATTAACGAGAGACACCCGGAATGGCTAACTGAAGGCCTGATCCCCAAGGACCCCAAGAAGGGACTGGTCCCCTCCAACTACCGACCAATAACCTGCCTCAGTACTACATGGAAGCTCCTGTCAGGCATCATATCGGCTAAGATGAACAGGCACATGGGTCAATACATGAGCGGGACACAGAAAGGAATTGGCAAGAATACCAGAGGCGCAAAACACCAGCTACTGGTAGACAGAACAATCAGCCGAGACTGCAAGACCAGACTGACCAACCTGTGCACTGCCTGGATTGATTACAAGAAGGCCTATGACTCAATGCCCCACAGCTGGATACTGGAATGCCTAGAATTGTACAAGATCAATGGGACCCTAAGAGCCTTCATCAGGAACTCAATGGGAATGTGGCGTACAACACTAGAGGCCAACTCCAAGCCCATAGCACAAGTCACCATCAAGTGCGGGATCTACCAAGGAGATGCTCTGTCCCCACTGCTGTTCTGCATAGGCCTGAACCCCCTCAGTGAGATCATTAACAAGACTGGCTACGGATACCGACTACGGAACGGAGCAGTTGTCAGCCACCTCCTGTACATGGATGACATCAAGCTGTATGCCAAGAGTGAACGAGACATCGATTCACTGATCCACACTACCAGGCTATACAGCAATGACATTGGAATGTCGTTCGGACTGGAGAAGTGTAGTCGGATGGTAACAAAGAGAGGGAAGGTAGTCAGAACTGAGGGGATTGAACTACCAGAAGGCAACATTGCAGACATAGAGGACAGTTACAAGTACTTGGGGATCCCGCAGGCGAATGGGAACCATGAAGAGGCCGCTAGAAAAGCTGCAACCACCAAGTACCTGCAGAGGGTCAGGCAAGTCCTGAGGAGTCAGCTGAATGGTAAGAACAAGATCCGGGCCATCAACACGTACGCCCTGCCCGTGATCAGGTACCCTGCTGGGGTAATAGGCTGGCCAAAGGAGGAGATAGAAGCCACTGACATAAAGACAAGAAAGCTCCTTACCATGCATGGAGGGTTTCACCCCAAGTCCAGCACCCTGAGGCTGTACGCTAAGCGGAAGGAAGGGGGCCGGGGACTGGTGAGTGTCAGCACCACAGTCCAGGATGAGACAAGGAACATCCAAGAATACATTGGGAAGATGGCCCCAACTGACCGAGTGCTCAGTGAATACCTCAGGCAGCAGAAACCCAAGAAAGAGGAGGGAGACGAGGAACCATCATGGAAGGACAGAGCCCTGCACGGTATGTACCACCGGCAGATAGAGGAGGTGGCTGATATCCAGAAATCCTACCAGTGGCTGGACAAAGCTGGACTGAAAGACAGCACAGAGGCACTAATCATGGCAGCACAAGAACAAGCTCTGAGCACAAGATCCATAGAGGCTGGGGTCTATCACACCAGGCAAGACCCCAGGTGCAGGCTGTGTAAAGATGCCCCAGAGACAATCCAGCACATAACAGCAGGGTGCAAGATGCTAGCAGGCAAGGCATACATGGAACGCCATAACCAAGTGGCCGGCATAGTGTACAGGAACATCTGTGCGGAGTATAACCTGGAAGTCCCGAGGTCAAAATGGGAGATGCCCCCAAGGGTGGTGGAGAATGACCGAGCTAAGATCCTGTGGGACTTCCAGATACAGACGGACAAAATGGTGGTGGCTAACCAACCGGACATAGTGGTGGTAGACAAACAGAAGAAGACGGCCGTAGTGATCGATGTAGCGGTTCCGAATGACAGCAATATCAGGAAGAAGGAACACGAGAAGCTGGAGAAATACCAAGGGCTCAGAGAAGAGCTCGAGAGGATGTGGAGGGTGAAGGTAACGGTGGTCCCCGTGGTAATCGGAGCACTAGGTGCGGTGACTCCCAAGATAGGCGAGTGGCTCCAGCAGATCCCGGGAACAACATCGGAGATCTCTGTCCAGAAGAGCGCAGTCCTGGGAACAGCTAAGATACTGCGCAGGACCCTCAAGCTCCCAGGCCTCTGGTAGAGGACCCGAGCTTGAAGGATAAACCGCCCGCAGGGGCGTGCTGGGTGTTTTATATATATATATATATATATATATATATATATATATATATATATTCATTCTACTATATAGGTTGAAACAAACTGTTAAACAATTGATTAAAGTGTATTGAGTCCCGACCATGTTGAGTCCTTCCATGTTGACATAGATGCTCCTGTAGAGTCTCTTGAACACCTTGTTTAGAGTGTAGCCCATTAGCCTGATAAACCCCAGCTGCAGATTGTGAGACATTTCCTTCAAAATCCTAGAAGCATCTTCTTTCACCTTCTCCACAGATGACCCCGTCTCCATGGCAATCTAAGAGGGAATATGAGCCAAAAAGACTCACTCCATATTGGCAACGCTACAGTGTAAAGCTTCATTGCCTTAAATAAAAAAAAGACTCACCTCTTTGATAATATAGCACAGATACTGGGACTCCAGTACAGCTTTGTTGAGGTCAGAGGTGGAAAGGGTTGGGGCTCCTTTGTACGGTTGCGGGTTAAAGGTTCTCAGGGCATAACCAAGATCAGTGGTGCGCCTCCTCTCCTCCAATATATCCGTGAACTCTTCCTCATCCTTTAGGCTTGCAGTGGCTGAATCTTTATACTGGAGGAAGGAGTAAGGTTTATGTTAACAGTCGTAAAGTTAAGATGTTGGACACTTGTAACAGGATAGAAAACAACAGACCAGAGGTGTGGGCAGCAGCACAGGACACCATTGTTTGGATTCATTAGCATCACGTTTTATAGACTTTCAGCTTTAATTAAAGGAATTCAACAAAAGTATTTAATTAACTATTCAGGAATTACACCCATTTATATACACAGTATTTTTTTTCAGAGGTTCAAATTAATTTGACAATTGACAATAGAAGACAGCTCAAGTGCATTATCACAGCATTATTTCTAAAGTCGACTAAATCAAGCATACCACATCATCTGTCAAACATATTGGAGGCCTCGGTATGGCATCGGCATGTATGGCTGCCAGTGGTAACAGTTTATCAGTATTTATTAATGATGTGACTACTGATTAGAAGTACCAACATGAATTGTGAAGTGTACAGGGCTGCTCTTTCTGTTCATATGCAGTCAAATACTGCAAAATTCATTGGACACCACTTCACAGTGCATGCGGATAACAATCCAATCCCTACTGCAAAACCAACCCAAGAGTTTCTTAGGTCACGAAATAAGATTTTCTTTAGTGGCCAAGTCAATAATCTGGTCTCACCCAATAGATCATAGTTTGTTTGTTTGTTTTATGAGGACAAAGCTGAATGGAAAATACCCCAAAACAAGCAGCAACCGAAGGTGGCTTCAGTGGCTGCACTACCTTATATTTCAAATGATTTTAGTTTGTTCCATTACTTCATCGCTTTTTACCCTGTTAAACCTCTTGAATTTAAACAACCTGGAGGTCTGTAGTTTAGTCACTGTGAGTCCGTCTGATTTATAACCCAGTGTGATGGTGTACATAGGGAAAACTACAAAAAAGGGTCATTGTAATTAAGGATCCAACTGTATTTTTTTTTGCCAGAACAAAATGGTGAAGATATAAAATAAAATTTCTTTGCTACAAAAGCGGAAGCAATAAAAGCAAAAATGAAAGAACAACGAAAGAAAGAAGATGAATGACTGCTATTCACAAAGCGGGTTCTTTTGAACAATTATTTTGTAATTGTGCATCGCTATAGTTATCCAGTTAATCTGCTATTATGCTGTACTGTGCTCGCCTCACATTATAAGCAGGGGGTTGTTTTTAATTTTTGACACCCGAAATACCTTCGAAACCACTTTTGGCCAAAAGCACAAGTGACTGGAATCGAAATCACATACAGTGGGTATTTATAGTTTCTGTTTCTCTTTACAATAAGGGAAAAATACGTTTTGGGCTTTGTTTTTATTTTGAAAAGTGAGTTAAGAGAAAATAAATACCCTATAAAGAATACAAAGTTTATCGAGGAAACCCCGTAAAAAGTCATTATTTCCTCTCTGCTCTATTCTGCAGGCTGCTGTGACCTGCCAACACTGGCTGGTGACAAACTATTAAGCAACACCGGCTTACATACACTTTTTTTGACCAGCTTACGGCTGCCAGTCTACATAGGACATCCCTGCCTGCGTAATTAACAGTAAAAAACATTCCTGCTTGAAGACAGACAACAGCGAACATCCCTACAAGTTTCGTTCAGCGGTCTCCTTCTGGCTTTTATATATCATGGTAACTTTGAAAGGTTTAGAGAAAAGCGTCGACAGGCCCGAAAGAAGACGATAAAACAGACACTTTTAACACTTGCTTCTTACCGTACTCGTCATTCTATAGGGGTACTAACACGACCAAGGGAGGTGATTGGCCTCATTGACTTTCGGTTTTTGTACTTGGACGTTATCTTCGCTCAACACTTGTGATGTATGCAGCACTTCGGGGCCCAGGGCCAATGGTGTGGCTGGGTTTTGGAAACTCCTCCTCCAAATTGTAATACTCAGCCCTCTGCTCTCAAGTAACCCCTCCGATGTTGTGTAGGATAGATGTTTCAAATGAACTGGAGTTTGTCTATTGTAGAAAAAATGTCTGAATATTTTGGGGTGGCACATAACCAGGAATTAAACGTTAACTGAAAGGCACATGCAGAGGGGGGCTTGAGCACCTGCCTCTTTCCCGATGGGTGCCCCAAGTGCCCTTTTCTTGAGTCAAAGGAGCTTGCAAAGAAAAGCGTCTGGACTTCTTTAAGTTACTTGAAGACGTTTCACCTCTCATCCGAGAAGCTTCTTCAGTTCTAAGGTCAAATGGCATAAGGCCTTTTCTAAGGCCTTTTCTTGAGGCATTTTTTTTATATGTGTGTGTGCGTGTGGAGTCCTGCCTCTGCCCCTCGACAATAACATTTAACTATTAATTAAAAATTTGAAAAGGATCTGGCTTGCATCAGTCACATGACTACCATTAAACAGTGCACGCCCCTGACGGCAGAGGGCGCTGGTTCCAAGCCGGTGTAATGACAAACCGGGAACGAGCTCGCCAAGAGCACGCGCATTTTTTGCCGCCTGAGCGATGTGGACCTGTAGGAGAAACACAAATTAATTGGGAGACGCAGGCTGATGCAAAGAAAACCATAGCACACAGGAGTATTAGGTTATTATGTACACGTTAGTAAGTTGTCTTGTGGCAACTTGAATTGAAATAAATAAATAGAATAGAATAGAATAGAATAGAATAGAATGGAATAGAATAGAATAGAATAGAATAGAATGGAATAATCCTTTAATTGTCCCACAAGGGGAAATTTGGTTGTAACAGCAGCCAGAAAGACACATATACAAACAAACAGTACACAGGACACAGAACAGGAACATACACATTTTTTTTCTTACATATTTACATTAAGGACAATGGTTACTATAAACAGAGTACTGTACAGTTATTAAATTAAATAAAAATAACTACAGAGAGAAAAAAGGACTCGGTCAGGTCGGAGCTGCTGGCTGCCAGCTCAGAGCGGCACCGGTAGCGTGCTGAGCGTGCTGTGTGTGCAACAGAGCGATTAAACATTACCTGTCCTTTTATTAACTGCAAAGCTGACTGCTACGTAGAAAAGGAGAGTACGACCATGTAGTATTTAAAGCGTGGAAGTACTGATCTTAGTTTGAGTTTGATTCCGTAAAAACTGACAAAAACATTAGCGTCCGCTGTACAGACGAAGAAAACTTCTTTCCATAGCAAAAATGTAACTTCAAATCTGAGCAAGCACCGAGCATGCTGCCACAGGAATGTGACATTCACAGAGAAACCCCCGGATCCTCCCACTGACATGACTGCAACACTGGGCAAACCACCACTGGCCCCACTGCTGCTAAACAGGTGAAAATAGATTTAGTGATGTCGTCCTCATCACTGATGGGGACGACAAGGAGTACAGAGGACTGACTCAAGACTTTGTGGACTGGTGCCAGCTGAACTACCTCCAGATCAATGCCAGTAAAACCAAGGAGCTGGTGGTAGACTTCCGCAGGCACAAGCAGAGGCGGAGCCAGACATTTGAAACACCCGGGGCTTAGCCCAAAGAGTAGTATGCATGTGGGATTTTTTTTTTTTTTTTTTTTTTGGAAAAAAGAAAAAAGAATGACTTCATATAGGGAAAAATATATATATATAAAATATATATCACATGTGCAGGACACCTTAAACTAGTTTTTTAATTAAGCAGCAAGGCAGAACAAGGTCAGGGCTGCATCAAGACACGAGGACTAAACCCCAATTCAACCAGACCCAGAACTGATCCAGAATTAAAAACAGGACTACAACAGTTCAAAATCAGGACTACTGAGGACTTAACCAAGACAGAACCAGAATCAGAACTAGATGATAGCACTAAAAATCTTCATAGACCTGCACTACACTTATTTTTTTAATTCTACCAAAGTACACTATTTAGATTGAGAAAAGTTTATATAATTATTCAGCCTTGTTGTGCAAACAAGCCTGCAGAACTTAATAAATACAGAATTTGAAAAATAACAAACCTAAAAAGAAACACTAGGTACGAGATACATGAGGACCTATGATACGGTGATACTTTTGGTAAACAACCATTTGACTAACATGTGTGTCTCACCTGCTCTTGTTCATCTGTTCTGTCCTCGTTCTCCTCTCTCTCCCTCTTTGTGCTGACAATCATCAAATATACAGTTGAAACCAGATATTTACTCTTCAGATAAAAACACTTTTTTAATTGTAACATCAAATCAGACTAAATGTTTATTTTTTTTAGATTGATAAATATAAAAACATATTTGTTAACTTTAAGAGTAAAGAGAGAAACTGTCTGTATTTCTTAATTGCAAATGGCACCAAATTGTATTCAAACTTGAGCCACACTTATGGAGCTCCACAGTTCTGTTCCTGGTGTTTTGGTTGATATCTCTTGATTTTCCCATGTCAAAGAAACAGGCTCTGTGTTTTGCCTTATATGCATCCACAGCTGTGCCAGCAATTTACTCACATGGACTCTACTAACCTATCAGAAGCTTCTTCAGCTCAGAATGGAATCGTCTGGAGTTTTCTTATTAATTAACAATAAATTTAGTGTACATGTACTCCTAAATTTGATGAAAGTGATAAAAATAGCTCTGTCTCTCTTTATTCTGAAATTTAACTAATTCAAAATATATTTCAATATTTATCTAAAACAAAAATTTACTCTAAATTGATGTTGTACAGTAAAAATGTTTTATGTTTTCTCCCTAAAGTGTATGTAAATATCTGGTTACAAATGTGAATATCCTGCTGTGTACTGAAATCCCTCTTGTTTTGCATAGAAATATACTGAACAACATACAAAGCATAATATATAAAATAACATTTACCTGAGTTTTTTCTTTGAAAGAACCCTCTAATGTCCATTCTTATGTTTCAGTACATAACTGAAACCGATTTAGTCGGGGAGGGTAAGAACTGAAAATATGAAATAAACACACGTAAGCTAAGACTCTAAAAAAAATAGCATTTGTTCGGCTTTTCATTTTGCCATTTGTTGATTCACTTGAAGAGCAAGTAACGTAATATTGGTCAAGTGATCAGTTTCATATCAATCTTTCGTGATGCACCGTCATATTTACATTATTTGTACAGTACGAATGATTTGCTTTGGTACCTGGTCAAACTTAAGCTCTCCTTAGTATGGCTGGCTCCGTCTCTCCAACAGCGCACTCACGGGCAGCAGCTGCCCCGCCCCCTCGCTCAGTCGCTTAGTGCCTGAGCTTGGATCATACCAATATCAGGGGGGGATTCACGCACAGTCGTAAATTCCCACAGTGTGCACTATGTGCTTCGAATATTGTGTGTACTTTTTGTTTTATACAGTTGTCAGCCAGGCATCTAACTATGAAAAAATTACACTCCAAAATACCCCGGGCTTCTGACAAAACAACCCGGGCTTAAGCCCCGTAAGCCACCCCCACGCTCCGCCCCTGGGCACAAGCATTCTCCACTGCAACCACTGAACATCCAGGGTATGGACATTGAGGCTATGGACAGCTACAGGTACCTTGGTGTTCATCTGAACAACAGACTGGACTGGACTCATAACTCAGACGCCCTCTACAGGAAAGGGCAGAGCAGGCTGTACCTGCTGCGGAGACTCAGGTCGTTTGGGGTGGAGGGCCCACTCCTGAAGACCTTCTATGACTCTGTGGTGGCTTCTGCTATCTTTTATGGTGTGGTCTGCTGGGGCGGCAGCATCTCTGCTGGGGACAGGAAGAGACTGAACAGGGTGATCCGAAGGGCCAGCTCTGTTCTAGGATGCCCTCTGGACCCAGTGGAGGTGGTGAGTGACAGGAGAATGGCGGCTAAGCTGTCATCCCTGTTGGACAACGTCTCCCACCCCATGCAGCAGACTGTGACAGCACTGAGCAGCTCCTTCAGTGGGAGACTGCGGCACCCACGGTGTGGGATGGAGAGATTTCGCAGGTCTTTCCTCCCCACTGCTGTCAGACTCCACAACAAAGACTTTAACTGAACAAAAACACACATCCACACATGTGCAATAACACTAAGTGCAATAATCTTTTCTGGCATCGTTGTATTTTTACTCAGTTGTATATAGCATTCGTATTCTATTTTTATCTTATTGTATATTTTTATTCTATTTTATTCTACTGTATATAGTATATTATTTTATTCTATTCTGTACAGCTGTGTACTGTATTTATTCTTATTGTATTCTAATTTTTGCGTCATAACTTTTGCACTGTCCACTTCCTGCTGTGACAAAACAAATTTCCCACGTGTGGGACTAATAAAGGTTATCTTATCTTATCTTATCTTATTTAGCAGCTGCTGAATCTTTGATTTTATTGTTTGCAGTGTATTACTTGCATCTATTTGAAAGAGTGAGTGTAAAGTTTTGCAGAAAATCAGTTTAAATGTTAAACAAATTTCTTCAAGTCAAAGACTATTGCATATAATTAAATTTTTGCTTGATGCAATGTGCATAAAATGAAAAGATTAAAACTAATAAAACAAATTAAAAAAAGACTTTTCCATTTGGTTCAATTTTATGTGATGGATTATGCAGAAAAAATAGAATTGGGCTGAAAGGTCTATGTGTTATTACATATTCAGGTTGTGTATCATGTTTTTAAAAAATAACAAAGTAACTAATTACTTTTGAAAATAAGTAATCAGTGAAGTAACAGGATTAGTTTTTTGAATAAGTAATTAGTAACTAATTACTTTTTTCAAGTAACTTGACCAAAACTGGTATTTAAGAACTTTGTTTTCTTCCATCCAGTGTTGCATTCTCCCTCATTCCACACTGTGTTCCGCCTGCCTGCCAGTCTGCCTCTCTGTTTAGTTTAATTTGTAATTCCTGTTCGGTTAG